GCATGTGCCGCGACAGATATTCCCCCGCTGCACAGATTCTTAATCACTCGAGTCATCATGAGCATGGCACACAAAAACAAAATGAATTCAATCAATGCGCGACAAACAGCAAATGTACAACAGTTGATGCCACTGAGAACCCATCCCACCTCTGTCTCATGACTTCCCCATGGCGCCTTCCCGCACAAATCCCCAATCAAACAAAGCATCAAGAAAAGCGCACAGACGAGCACAAGGAACTGGACCGATTCAGAATGTCCTGCAATTGTGACCCCAGAGAACACAGCTGACATCTTTTCCCTTGCTTACTTGCCGCAGCATCCGGACGCTACCAAATGTCCGAGATGAAGACTTGCTCCCCCTCCTTCTTCCATGTACTCACGAACATGGATGGGGTCACAGCTGATCACACACTCGAAACTTTAATGGAAACCAATCTTCTTTCGAAGTCAAACTGACACAAATTTAATGCCTACCAATCCTGATAAACATTGTGTGCCCTTGGAGCCACAATCCGACTCTCTTTATTCCCAAGAGATCAACTACTGGCAGAACGAAGGAGGCAGGCCAACAGACACTTTTACATGCATGCAGAGGAAGCAAGTCAGCGATTGTTGGCCGATGCATATACTGTCGGTGTCAGACCTGTGGCTTTCCAGGATGTGTATAACCGGCTGGTCCAAAACCCGCCTTTGCAAAATGACCGCCCTCAAGCTGGCCTGCCACCACAGCCCACCTTAATCACACAAACGAGTTTGGCTTACCTGACCCAGCTCCATTTACAAACAATACAACCCCCTCTTCTGTTGTGTTTTCAATGTACAGCAGAACCACAAACCCATTCCCGGTCCTGTACATATGGTGTGCATCCCCTCTTCTGCAAAACTGCCTTTCAGCACCTGTCCCGCAACCCATTTCACAATCGAATGTGAGCTGTGCAGGAACTCCTTCGGGACTTTCCATTTCGGCGCCATGGCCGCAAACCCCGTCCACATTGTGCCAGTATGGTGTACAACCCCCTCCTTTCCAACAGTGCCACCCCCTCCTTTCCAACAGTGCCATTCTCCATCTGTGCCGCAACCCCCTACTTTATTCGGTAACAAATGACTTCCGAACAGGGCTGTAAACAACGGGGACCCCACCCCCAACCGGAACTGGGCCGGTTTCCCCCTGGCTGCCCATAGCGCATCGCAGGTGAGGGCCTGGTTTGGATTTTTTTTTGGCCTCCATGCAGGTTGTTTGGCCCTGCTGGCCCGAAAGACATTAGAACTGGGTCCGGTAGGCCCTCCCACGAGGCCTGAAAAGGGAGGCCTATCTGGAGCGCTGATCTCGAGAGATTGGCGGCCCAGATAAGGCCGCCGTTTTCAAATCTTGGAGGTGGTACCTCCCGTTCCCCTCCCCCTATGCCCTCCCGCCTCCCCCCGACTTACCTCCCGTTCCCTTCCGCCAACGCCCCCGCTGCCTATGCCATTGTCCACCCTCCCCATCGCTCATCGTCAAGGTGGTCGTCGTTGTTGCCTCCACCATCGTTGTTACCTCCGTCATTGTCGTCGCCTCCATCATCGTTGGCCGTCGCCCTTAGTGAAGGCGGTCGCCCGTGCTTCTACCCCCCCCTGCCAGGGTGCCACAGGTACTCCCCCGTGTTTGCTCATGTCTGCTGTTTGTGAGGTATGGCTTTCTTCATGTTTCGTGATGCTGCTGGTACGCGTCTGTCCATGTTTGCAGAAAGCCAGGTACGTTGTTGTCAATGTCTGCCGAAGCCTGTGCTTGCTGAAACCCTACCACTAACACCCCCACCACCATAACCCCCCAACCCCCTGGCCCCCCACCCCCCCCCCCCCCCCCCCCCCCCCCCCCCCCCCCCCCCCCCCCCCCCCCCCCCCCCCCCCCCCCCCCCCCCCCATCCCCGAACAAAACTTCTCTATTCAAAGTTTTTGTTGCGATCTCGGCAAGCGCAGTCCAACCAGGTACGAACGACGCAAACACCACCAAATGAAATCAACAGAGTAACGGCCACCACACCGCTTCCTCTAACAACAAACCTTGAATACCAAAGGGAAGCCACAGAGTCTAACGGCATCAAAAGGGCCAGTCCAGCAGAATTATATTCATTCGCTCACTCTCCCAAAAAAAATAAATGTTAATCCATGGTGGGGTGCCTTGCGGTCATTCAAGCCCAGGGAGGTTGCTGACCAAGTCCTGCACTTGGACAACAGGGATAGGCAGTTTGAGGTAGAAAGCAAAACGGCTACTCTATGCCACTCAAACTCGTGGGAGTATGTCAGTGCAATTCTGGAAGTCACGTTCTGGAGACAACCAGACCAAAAACACGTCCCTTTTGAGCAGTATCGCAATAATATTGTACGCAGAATTGTGCATCTCCTTACATCTGAGACCAGTGTTGGACCCGCCGACGGTCGGTGGCCCTTGACTGGTCGGCTGCCAACCCGTCGATCGATCGGCTGGTCGGCACCTACCGGTCGGGGGTCATCGGCACCCAGCATAGCGGCCCCCAATACCCCCATACACCCCCCCAATACCCCCTATATCACCCCTATAAGCCCTATACCCCCCCTATACCCCCTCTATACTCCAACCCCAACCCCCCCACACCCCCCCCCATCCCCAAACGTTTCTCAGCGAATTTGGGCTGTACTCAGCATGCGCAGTACAGCCCCCAACTCAGATTTGAAAAAAAATCAGTGGATGGTTGTTTTCTGACTGGTCAGCAGACCGCTGACCGGTCGCCCTACTGGGTGGCTGCAATACGGTCGGCGGTCAGGGTCGGCGGTTGGCAGGGTGCAACCCTGTCTGAGACGGAATATTTCTTGTGCACAAAAGGAAAATTGTGGTGAGCGGGAGACAGGTATGCAAACTGCGACACACGCGATAGGTAAGTTCAAATTCCCACAACAACCAACCCAGCAAACCACAACTGAAACGAAACCGATCGGCCCTACTGGGGGGCTGCAATATGGTCGGCGTCGGGGGTTGGCAGGGTGCAACCCTATCTGAGACGGAATGTTTCTTGCGCACAAAAGGATTGTGGTGAGCGGGAGACAGGTATGCAAAGTGTGACTCACACTCGATAGGTAAGTTCAAATCCCCACAACAACCAACCCAGCAAACCACAACTGAAACGGATGCAAAGTGTGAACAGGTCTCTCTCAGGCCAGTCCCCCAAAAAAAAAAAAAACAAAAAAAAACGTGGTCTTTCCAACACTTTCAAAGCGCCAACAGGAATCCAACGACAGCAACAGGTAAGTTCAAATCCCGGACGGCAACCAACCCAGCAACCACAACTGAAAAGAATCTCTCGGGTGATACCATCGACTGCATCAACAACAGTGGACAGGTGAGCCTCAACTTCACATTGACCCCACAACCCCCCAAAACCAAAGCAATAATTCGCCCGCATCTTCTCATTTTTTCCCCATTTTCTTTGCGAGCGAAGCTGTGACAGGTACCCTTGTATGCACTGATATTACACCGAAGTAGAACCAAAGCAGAACTCAATTGCGAATGAAAGCCCTCTCTCGCCACCATCAACATTGTTTCCGAAGCTCTTCCGCCTATTTGGCGCTCATCGCCCAGACTACGATCACACGGCTACTAAGCTAGCCTACAAAATGACAAAGCAACTGGTTGACGTCAGCAGCAGTGACCAAAGCACATGCCGATGTCGACCATGCAGACTTCCGCCAGGACCATGTAGGTGGTCTCACATCACCTCTCTCACTTGCCCTGTCTTTGCCCACCGTTGTGTTTCCATACACACTCTTACTCCACTGTAGGACCACCACCAATCCCGGCTGACCTTCCCACCACCCAAGCCTGGCTATGGAGGCTGGGCTATGGCGGCGCTGCTTCCATGCAGCACCCACCTTCCCCTTAGCATCCGCGAACCCCCGGGCACCCAGCGCTAGCGGCAGTGAGCGCTCTGTCCAGCAGCACTGCCGCATTGCATGTGTGTGCCCGAATGCCTTCTTTGTTGCCTGGCTCTTTTCTATATGGAAATGCGACAGGCAAGCAGCTGCCTGGACTGGGACTCGTTCGTGCCCAGTAGCTTCATGTTGGGCCAAAGTGTCTGCGCCAAGGCCCGTTCAGACAGTGGCCTGTGCCCGCAGCCGTTAGGTGCGCGCAACCACCCAGTGCCCTGTGAGGTGTTCCCTGCTCTCTGATAGGCCAAAAGGCCTCCTTCCACGCCGAGGCAAGAAGAACGGAGAAGGCTCGTGGAAGTTTCTGGTGCTCACGAGCAGGGCAGATGTAACCAACTGACACATCTTAACTGTCTGGCGCCCCACCAGGGCCGCCGAAATTGCAGTATTCAGGCCTTGTTCAAATTCAGGGGCCCGCCTTCACTTGGGCGGGCACATGTTTGCTGTAAGGGCCTCATATGGGTATGCCGAGGTCTTAATTCCTCGTAATAGTTCGTTAGCAGTTGTGGCAGTGCACTGAAAAAAAAACAAAAGAAAAAAGTATGCGAGGAGCACCAGATGCTCAGTTGTGGCAGTGCACTGAAAAAAATCAAAAGAAAAAAGGAAGCGAGGATCACCAGATGTTCACCTGCTCACTGTGTTCTTCAAATGTGCCTGTGCCATGAGCTTGATTATGGTGAGTAAATGGTTTTCTCAGGAGGGGAAAAAGATAAACGAAAAGGAAGAAAGAACTCATTTCCTTGGTACTTGTTCTCTCTCTTTTGGTAGTTTAGTAGTCAGTTTTAGGTTTCAGGTTTGTGTGCAGACTGTTTCGAATGCAATCTCCCAGAGTGCGGTGAAGTGGTAAAGCTGTCGGATCGGAGGGAATGCATTGATCCCAAATGGCTCATGCTTTTTAGGGTGGCGATAAGGTCACCTGTCTGGCAGAACTTAGCAAAATGGTAAGCTGTCCCATCGGAGGGAATGCACTCAATTGTACTGGAGTGCAAGATGTTGTGAGCTGATGGGCAGATTTACCGAGGGGCGCATCGTGTTTTGGATGGAATCCGTTTCTTATTGCAGGAATATGGGATCCAGGGTTTTCCAACTATCAAGGTTTTTGGGGCTGATAAGAAGAAACCGTCAGATTATATGGGCGCCCGGGATGCCAAGGCCATCGTCGATCATGCACTTCAGCAGGCAAGGATTTCTTCGTCCAGTTTTTGGTCGGCTTGTGCAGCTATCAGTGCAGTAGCCATTTGGCTGTGCTGTTCTTATCCACAGGCCGTCAACCTCGTGTCATTGTGCTGAAGCATCATGTCATGGTGGTAGTTATGCTGAGACAGATTTGGCATTGAGTCTGAAAGGAACCTTTGTCGTAAAGTTGTGCTTTTTTTCTGTTTGTCACTCGTGGCTTATGCTACCTGCTCTGTTGGCCTTGGAAGTGCTCAGCCTGCCCATCTGATTTACATAATCTCATTTGGAAAGGGATCGTGTGCTGTGTGACAGAATGGACTGCTTTTTCTCAATCCATGCCAAAGCTTGATGGATGTCTTTGTTCATGGAGTGTTAGGAAATTCGTCTTTCACTATCTCCACTACCTCTGCTCCTTGTGGCTGACCCGATCGTTTGAAGTAAGACGAAGAAAGTTAAGCCAGCTAGCCGAACAGCCAAAAGGCCCAACAGCCAAACGGCCAAGCCGCCAAACACCGAATGGCCGAACAACCAAATAGTGAAATGGCCAGACACCCAGACAGCCAAACAGCCAAGCAGCGGAATGGCCAGAGATCCAGGCAGCCATACAGCCATACAGCCATATACAGCCAGACAGCCAGACAGCCAGACAGCCAGACAGCCAGACAGCCACTCAGCCACACAGCCAGACAGCCACACAGCCAGGCAACTGGACAGCCAAACCCACAATGGCCAAATAGTTGAACAAACAGCCAAACAGCCAAACAGCCAAAAAGCCAACTAGCTAGACAGAAAAGTGACACCTTTTTATTTTATCTTTTATTTTATCTGATCAGTGGTCCAACGAGACCCATTAAAGAAAAAGAAAAAAATGCACGTGCAGGCGCGCGTGCCAAAGCGAGAGCGAGAGCGAGAGAGAGAGAGAGAGAGAGAGAGAGAGAGAGCCCCAAAAGATCAAGTGTAGTATGTGCTCCGGTCAGTTTCAAATCTGATCTGTGGTCAATCGAGACCCTTAAAAAAAAAAAAAACGCACGCTAGAGAGAAGCAAAGAGAGAGACCCCGATCTAATCAGTTCCGAATATGATCCGTGGTCCATCAAGATCCTTCTTTTAAAAAAAAAAAAAAAAAAAGCAACGATGCGTGCGCACACACACGAGAGAGAGAGAGAGAGAGAGAGAGAGAGAGAGAGAGAGAGAGAGAGAGAGAGAGAGAGAG